TTATTTTTTTTTTTTTTTTTTTTTTTTTTTTTGTTTGTTTTTGTTCATTTTTTTTATATTTTAAATAGTGAACTGTTCTTGTGTAATTTAATCTTATTTTTGCCTTTTTTGTAACTCGTATCAAAAAGTTGAAACAATAAAAAAAAGAATATAAAGCTATAATATTTTCAGTTCATCCTTTTTATTATTAAAAAAATAAATCTTTTTATCTTATTTTTTTTTTTTTTTTTTTGTCTCGTTATTTCTCTTATATAAAATCTTAAATATCTCTGTATTTATATGAACTATTAAAAAATGAAACAAAATATAAAATAAATAGAAATATAACTTTACTGCATTTTTTCTATTAAATAAGAACTATAAAAAAGTTTATTATTTATTTATTATTTATTTATTTTATTATTCTAATAGTAATTCAAACAATATATATATATATATATATATATATATATATATATATATATATATATATATATATATATATATATATATATATATTCTTTTTTATTTTTTATGTATTCTTCAATTAATAAATATAATTTATTACCTAATATATTCTTCTAAGAATTTTGATCATTCATTCTTAATATAATTTATTAAGTGTAATAAAATTTTTATAACTTTCTATATATATTTAAATATATTTTGAGAAAGTTTTGTAAGAGAAAAAAATAGTAAGTTTATCTTATTTTAGACTTTTTTATAATTCTACTTATTTTTTTGTCTATGGGAAATGGATCGAATTGAAGTTCTTAAAAAAAATCTAAATGTTGAAAAAGTATTTAGTCATTTGAATTGGCATGAACTTATTTTAGATGAATTATCTGATGATTCCCATTATGAAAAATTAGAAAGTTATAAAAATTGTAATGATCTGTTTTCTTATCCAAGTCAACATAATGAAGATGATTATGTAAGTAAAAAAAAAGCATTGAAAAAAAAGAAGAAATTGGGAAATATATCCAATGAAAAAAATTATAATTGTTATTCTAGAGACAAATGTACAAACAAGAATGAAGAAATTGAGGAAAAAAATGAAATAGCTAAAAGTAACACAAATAATGATTATAAATGCTATTTTTTTCAAAATATTTCTCTTTTTTCTTATATATCGAATTTGTTTTCTAGAGAAAAAAAAAAATATGAAATGAAAAAGTGTAATTTTATAAAAGAAGTGAAAAAAGGTTTAACAAATAAAATAGATTTTATTCCTCCAGTAAATATTTTATATGATGATGAAAAGGTAATATTCCTATTTTTTATATCAGGTGTTTTGGAAAATTTTAATATTTTTACTCTCAATAATTATATTACAATATCTGGAAAAAAAGTTCCTTATGAAGTTCAAAGATGTACTAATTATTTCTCTCATGAAATAACAACAGGATATTTTATGAGAACATACTATTTTACAAAATCATTTGATAAAGAAAAAATTCACTATGAGCATAAAAATGGTGTTACACAAATATATGTTTATATTTCTAATGATCATGTTTTATAATAAGACAATATAAAAGAAAAATGAAAAAAAACAAAAATAATTTATATATATGAAATATGATTAATACTTTCATATTCCAAATATTATGCTTATATATATTTATATTCTTTTTTATTATAAATTAATAAATTACTTTTTTTTTTTTTTGTTTATTAAATTTTGTTCATAATTTTGTATTTTTCTTAAAAAAAAAATTATTACAATAAAAAAGCTAACATATGTGTGTATTTATTTTTTTAAAACTTCATTCATATAATTATACGAATATAAATACATTTATTTTTTTTTTTTATTTTATTTATAATATACTTAGAAAATATTAATTTTTGTAATTAAAGTTCTTATATATGTCTTCATATATATATATATACAAATAGTCCTAACAATGCTATTTTTTTATTTTGTTTTTAATTAGATTAAAAAAAAAAAAAATAAATAAAAGGAGAAAGTTTGATTCATTAAAAAATTCATTATTTTGAAAAACATAATTAAAACTATTTACTGCTTATATTTTATATTTATTATATTATGTCTTACTATTACTAATAATGATATAAGTAATATATATATATATTGTATTACTATATACTCACAAAAAGGTAACTCTCTTAATATAAAATTATTATATTTACATCATTTTTAACAAAATGTAAAGAGAAAATAATGAAAAATAAAATTTTATTTTTTTATTGTTCATAAGTAATTTTTATTTATAATTAAAACATTAAGCTCTTAAGAAATGTGTAAACATTTATTTTAAATTATATTTTAAAAATTATTATACTTTTTTTTTTAATCTATAACTATCAATGAAATGAAGATTTTTTTTTTTTTTTTTTATTATTGTTATATTATTTATTTTATTATATTACAAAAAAATTTACAATGAATAATAATCAATTTTAAAATTATATTTCATTATAATTAATTGACAGAAAAAAAGTAAAAAGAAAAAAGTGGAAATCATAATAAAAAAATTGGATAATAAGATTTACGACATTTTTTTATAAAAAAAAAATAAAATTAAACAACTGAAAAAAAAAATTCTACTTAATTTATAAAATGAAAATAAAAAATATATAAAACTAGTCAGAAACTATAAAATAAATTATTTGTAAATAATCAAAATATTCATTATAATTTCTTTGCATATAAAATTTTATGCAATTCGAAATTTTTGTTAATTTATTTCCAGATGAATCTGAATTATTTTCTTCGTTTACATTTATATGGTAATTTATATTTTTATTATTAATTAAAAAGGTTGCCTTATTTTGACCAAAATAAATTTCAAGTATATTAGAATCTTCCTTTTTTAAAATAAATATTGATTCTCTGAATAAAAAATTAGTAAAATAATCACATAATGTATCCAAATATGATCCTGGATAAATTATTATCAAGATGTAAATGTCCCTATAAAAAAAATATATATATATATATATATAATAATAACTACAATAATAATAGAGGAAATATACATAATGAAATAGAAGTATAGATATATTAATAAAAGAAATAGTATTACAAAAAGTTAAAAATGTATATATATATATATATATATATATATATATATATATATATATATATATATATATATATATATAATAATCTGTTTACTTAAAATGTGGCGTAAATTTATCATTAGGAATATCAAATTTACTTAATGAATTATGTGTTATTATAATATTGGAATTATAAACTGAAAACTTATGAATATTTTCAAGGTCATCATTCAAAAATTGTTTGTAAAAATTATATTCAGATTCTAATTTTAATAAATACATATTTAGAAAAGAATCATATGAATTAAATTTTTTATTTTCTAAAAGTTTGAGTACATTAACTTTTTTAAATTTGATCATATCTTTTCTATTATATATTAAAAAATTATCTTCTATTTTACGATTTCCTAAATATAAAACAAATAAATATTCATCATCTGAATTGAATTTATTATAATCTATTTTTTGATTAGTAAAAAAGTAGCCATAGTTATGTGTATTATATAAAATTAACGATCCAGTACAAAAATAATCTTCATAATTTACATGGTATAGTATTCCATTTGAATTTACAAAAACTGATATATATGTATTAAAAATATTAATAACTACGTAATCAATATTTAAATGATTATAATTTTTTTTTATAAAATTAACAATGTCTACTACTTTATTTGATTCTAAAAAAATCATTTGATTATTATATGAGTTCATTTCTACCCTATTGATTACATATATGATAAATGATTTACAATAGTTTTTTAAAAATGTATTAAAAAAATAAGATAATTCTAAAAAGGAATGACTTTCTAAAAAAATAGACATATCTATCATATTAATTTTTTTCTTCGAATTTAAAAGATAATCTTTTAACACTTCTATATAGAAAATATCTGAAATTTCATTCATATGTTTTTCATTCGATATCAATCTCAACTTTTTATTATATTCATTATATTCAGACATAAAGAAATTACTTAATATCTTTAATTTCATTCTGTAATATTCTTTACCTATTTCAAATATTTCATTTATATTTTGTTCATATATATCACTTATGCTAATTGCCTTAGAAAATATACCAGATATAATTTTATTTAAGTTTTTGGCATTTAAATTGATATATCTTATATATTTATTAATTCCTTTTAATTCTCTAACAGATGGATTAAAAAATTCTTTAATAGTATTTTTTAGAATTTTATCAAATATTTTCTTTTTTTTATCTAAATTATCCTCAATTTTTTCTTTAAATATTCCATATTTTGTTTTTAGCTTTTCCATCTTTTCTATGAATTTATTTGTTTTTTCATTATTTATATTAATTATACGTTTTTCTGTTTCATCAGATACTTTTATGGCTTCCTTGAAATTATTATACGTATTCTCTAAATCTTCAACATTATTCTTAAGTTCATTAAATATATATGATAAAGATTGAACATGTTTCATAATATGTTTTTTCTCATTTTTATATTGAAATGGATTCAACATTCGCTTCTTGAAAATTTCTATTAAAAAATAAATATGATAATAGATAAATAACTTTAGAAAAATTAAATAAATAATTTTATAAAAATTTTAACATTTTTTTTTTTTTTTCATTCTTTCAATATATAATATATATAAATTTATATATTTATTCTAAATTTTAATAAAATATTAATCTATATATATATATATATATATATATATATATATATATATATATATTTTTCCTTTTTTTAAGAATAGCTTCTATATTACACATTAATGAAAATTTTCTCTTTTAAATAATGAAATATCTTAGATAATGAATATTTTAATTACAATATTTATTCTTTACCTCCATTTGATGAAAAATATTTTATTTGATGAATTAGGAATAAAAAAAGAGGTAATATCACTACTAAAATACTCATTTTAAAATAAAATATCTCTAATAAATATTAAAAGAACGATATAAAGTTGTAGTTCACATTTCTCTACACCTTTGTTTTTTTAATTTTCTTAATAAAAAATTACCAAATTTATTAACAAATATATTCTAAATTATTCTTTCAAAATGCAACATATACATATATGTATATAAATATATATTTATTATATATTAAATATGTTGTAAATGTTTTTAAATAATTATCTAATTTTTGTTTTTATTTGTTTTCATTTTTTTTTTTTTTTTTTTTTTTTTTTTTTTTTTTTTTAAAATTTTTTT